TAGGACGCCATTAAAGCCCAGTTTGATCAATTCGCCCATTTCTGCTAGTCCTATTGGAATTTCTCTTGTGCCAATGTGTTTCTCAGGCCGTGACTATCCTCTGGACAAAGAATCAGCGTGCCCGTAGGACGCCATTTAAGCCCAGTTTGATCAATTCACCCATTTCTGCCAGTCCTACTGGAATTTCTCTTGTGCCAATGTGTTTCTCAGGCCGTGACTATCCTCTGGACAAAGAATCAGCGTGCCCGTAGGACGCCATTTAAGCCCAGTTTGATCAATTCACCCATTTCTGCTAGTCCTACTGGAAATTCTCTTGTGCCAATGTGTTTCTCAGGCCGTGACTATCCTCTGGACAAAGAATCAGCGTGCCCGTAGGACGCCATTTAAGCCCAGTTTGATCAATTCGCCCATTTCTGCTAGTCCTATTGGAATTTCTCTTGTGCCAATGTGTTTCTCAGGCCGTGACTATCCTCTGGACAAAGAATCAGCGTGCCCGTAGGACGCCATTTAAGCCCAGTTTGATCAATTCACCCATTTCTGCTAGTCCTACTGGAATTTCTCTTGTGCCAATGTGTTTCTCAGTCCGTGACTATCCTCTGGACACAGAATCAGCCCGGTAGGACGCCATTTAAGCCCAGTTTGGTCAATTCAAACATTTCTGCTTGTCCTGTTGGAATTTCTCCTGTGCCAATGTGTTTCTCAGGCCGTGACTATCCTCTGGACAAAGAATCAGCGTGCCCGTATTAGGCTATTTAAGCCCAGTTTGATCAATTCACCCATTTCTGCTAGTCCTGCTGGAATTTCTCTTGTGCCAATGTGTTTCTCATGCTGTGACTATCCTCTGCACAACGAAGCAGCACCGTAAGTCGCCATTTAAACCCAGTTTGATCAATTCACCCATTTCTGCTAGTCCTACTTGAATTTCTCTTGTGCCAATGTGTTTCTCAGGCCGTGACTATCCTCTGGACAGAGAATCAGCCCCGTAGGAGGCCATTTAAGCCCAGTTTGATCAATTCACCCATTTCTGCTAGTCCTACTGGAATTTCTCTCGTGCCAATGTGTTTCTCAGGCCGTGACTATCCTCTGGACAAAGAATCAGCGTGCCCGTAGGACGCCATTTAAGCCCAGTTTCATCGATTCACCCATTTCTGCTAGTCCTAGTGGAATTTCTCTTGTGCAAATGTGTTTCTCAAGCCAAGACTATCCTCTGGACAGAGAATCAGCGTGCCCGTAGGACGCCATTTAAGCCCAGTTTGATCAATTCACCCATTTCTGCTAGTCCTACTTGAATTTCTCTTGTGCCAATGTGTTTCTCAGGCCGTGACTATCCTCTGGACAAACAATCAGCGTGCCCGTAGGACGCCATTTAAGCCCAGTTTGATCAATTCACCCATTTCTGCTAGTCCTAGTGGAATTTCTCTTGTGCTAATGTGTTTCACAGGCCGTGACTATCCTCTGGACAAAGAATCAGCGTGCCCGTAGGACGCCATTTAAGCCCAGTTTGATCAATTCGCTCATATCCGTTAGTCCTATTGAAATTTCTCCTGCCAATGTGTTTCTCAGGCCGTGACTATCCTCTGGACAAAGAATCAGCGTGCCCGTAGGACGCCATTTAAGCTCAGTTTGATCAATTCCCCCATTTCTGCTGGTTCTTTTGGAACTTCTCTTGAGCCATTGTGTTTCTCAGGCCGTGACTATCCTCTGGACAGAGAATCAGCTCCGTAGGACGCCATTTAAGCCCAGTTTGATCAATACGCCCATATCCGTTAGTCCTATTGAAATTTACCGTGCCAATGTGTTTCTCAGGCCGTGACTATCCTCTGGACAAACAATCAGCCCCGTAGGACGCCATTTCAGACCAGTTTGATCAATTCACCCATTTCTGCTAGTCCTAGTGGAATTTCTCTTGTGCCAATATGTTTCTCAGGCCGTGACTATCCTCTGGACAAACAATCAGCCCCGTAGGACGCCATTAAAGCCCAGTTTGATCAATTCGCCCATTTCTGCTAGTCCTATTGGAATTTCTCTTGTGCCAATGTGTTTCTCAGGCCGTGACTATCCTCTGGACAAAGAATCAGCGTGCCCGTAGGACGCCATTTAAGCCCAGTTTGATCAATTCACCCATTTCTGCTAGTCCTACTGGAATTTCTCTTGTGCCAATGTGTTTCTCAGGCCGTGACTATCCTCTGGACAAAGAATCAGCGTGCCCGTAGGACGCCATTTAAGCCCAGTTTGATCAATTCACCCATTTCTGCTAGTCCTATTGGAATTTCTCTTGTGCCAATGTGTTTCTCAGGCCGTGACTATCCTTCGGACAAACAATCAGCCCCGTAGGACGCCATATAAGCCCAGTTTGATCAATTCGCCCATTTCTGCTAGTCCTATTGGAATTTCTCTTGTGCCAATGTGTTTCTCAGGCCGTGACTATCCTCTGGACAAAGAATCAGCGTGCCCGTAGGACGCCATTTAAGCCCAGTTTGATCAATTCACCCATTTCTGCTAGTCCTGTTGGAATTTCTCTTGTGCCAATGTGTTTCTCAGGCCGTGACTATCCTCTGGACAGAGAATCAGCCCCGTAGGACGCCACTTAAGCCCAGTTTGATCAATTCGCCCATATCCGTTAGTCCTATTGGAATTTCTCGTGCCAATGTGTTTCTCAGGCCGTGACTATCCTTCGGACAAACAATCAGCCCCGTAGGACGCCATATAAGCCCAGTTTGATCAATTCACCCATTTCTGCTAGTCCTCCTGGAATTTCTCTTGTGCCAATGTGTTTCTCAGGCCGTGACTATCCTCTGGACAGAGAATCAGCCCCGTAGGACGCCATTTAAGCCCAGTTTGATCAATACGCCCATATCCGTTAGTCCTATTGAAATTTACCGTGCCAATGTGTTTCTCAGGCCGTGACTATCCTCTGGACAAAGAATCAGCCCCGTAGGACGCCATTTAAGCCCAGTTTGATCAATTCACCCATTTCCGTTAGTCCAAGTGGAATTTCTCTTGTGCCAATGTGTTTCTCAGGCCGTGACTATCCTCTGGACAGAGAATCAGCCCCGTAGGACGCCATTCATACCCAGTTTGATCAATTCACCCATTTCTGCTAGTCCTAGTGTTATTTCTCGTGTTAATGTGTTTCTCAGGCCGTGACTATCCTCTGGACAAAGAATCAGCGTGCCCGTAGGACGCCATTTAAGCCCAGTTTTATCAATTCGCCCACGAACTGGGCCTGGAATACTAACCAAAAGCTAAACAACTTTGTTCAGTACCAACGGATGGTAAGGAGCATTCTGTATTATAGTTAGCAAATAAAAGCAGTCCAACCTATACTCCATGACTGTCAACAGCACACTCCACGTGTTTGTCTAGCCACTTCCTATTTTCAACGCTTCTGACCACGACCCCCTACTGGCCACCGTTACTCCGGTGATTCTTTTTTCATGCTGTCAGATTTTACCATAGTCGGTTAGGTTCTTCTTTTTTTTATCAGCTGCCGCCAGGTATAAGAGCATTTATAATGCTAGAAAATACATAGCAGCATATATAATATGGTCCTCAAGGTACCAGTCTCATCCACGCTTCAACTACTTACTCATTGAGACCCTATTTCAACACAAGATTCCAGGCCTCGTTCTGATGAACGAATCGCCACAATCGATGTGGTCTTCCATAAACCATTCGTCGAACTACACATAAGTATTTGCCCCCAGTGTCGCCTATTCTCGCTTCCTTGCTTTTTTGGTAACTCTCACTAAGCCTCACAAGAATTAGTCGCTAGTACCGGTCTTCTCGCTTTCCGTATGTTGTTTAATCCAAAAAACAAGACCTCAACGTCGCGACCACCCATTTCTGTTACTGGCATGATATTGGTGTTCTGTCTTTCTCCCCTAACCCACAGCTGGTAGAATTGCCAGACTGCAGCCCTCTCCGTTTTGTTTTCAGAACCTGCACCCTAAGGACGATTGTCGCCGTCCACTTCCCAGGAATAACTTGAACCCTCTCTTACTGGACAGGACAAACGAGATTTACACACAACTTCATTTTCGCCCGTCTCACGATCGCTTTCCCCAAGATTCCCGCCATCGGACTTCTTGAACCTGGACTACTCGATCTCACTGCATTCATACAACTCATTTCAATCCCATATGTCATTATGCCCGTTCCGTGTTAGAACCCGCTAATACTGTTCAAACACTGGCACCTTTATTGTCACTGTTCATTGCTTCATCGGTCACCAAAAAAAAAACGTCCGGCGCTGACATATCTTTCAGTAGTCTTCCAGTGGGCAGCGAAGTAATTAGTAACTACCTGCACTCTTCATCGGTCCATCCGATCGCATCCGCAATGCTGTTGCATCGAGTGTTCGGGCTCTGTAGATCACTGCGTTCCCTCCACGATTGAACGTCTTCGATACACTTCCCATGCTGCATCGCCGCTCCGTTCCCATCATTTGTTACACCTGTCAAATTGGTCATTAGAAATGTGACACTCACCGTCTACTTACTATACCATCACCGTTATCGAGACCTTTGATTTTCCAGATGTTGCATTCGTGTTATATTACCGAAACTGACCCCGTATGCAGCCTCTAAATCACACCACTATCTGCACCAGCTGATACATTTTATTTCTACATTCGTTGATCCACGGCCGCTTCCCGCGATATACCTGTGCAGTTTTATTGATCTGTCATTTTTGCATGGTACATACCACACAGCATTCATCTATTGACGTACACTTATCTGTGGATTACTTTACCTTTCCTCTCGCAGAACTGAACACCTGTATAATGGATGTAACCACACGGTCAATATTGATTAGTCTTCCACTTCCGCTTTGACATTTCATACCAACCCTACATAAAGTTAACAACTTGCCGCACGCTCACCTGTTTTACTCCGGCCGTTCCCTGCCACCATCACTCTGGTAGTATCCCTCCCAAGAAATACGCAATTGTTTGCAACATATATGATTCCTCCAGTATACAGCCACCACTTTATATACTACCATCTTTGCAGACTGAAATATTTCCATGTTAATACTTCTTGACATGCCTGTAGTAAAGTGAATAATTCACCGAACGCTTCGACGAGATTTCTATCCATATGCCCCTCATATTCTGTAGCGCACCAAAAACATTTCCTGTCAATATGTTCGAGTTTCCACTAGTGGTAATTATTTCATATACCACTTATGCATGTACTCCAGACCAACTGACATCATTCGACCTTGACCTTCAAATTTGCCGGGCATTACTACAGATTTAGTTCACTGTAACACTCTCTCTGATACTCTGCATGCACTTGATGTACCCTTTTGTGAATTGTCATTCCGGCATTACTATAATCATATGATCATGCATTCTAGCATGCTTCGGGCGCATCCGAAATATACAATTATTATTATTATTATTATCCGTTAGTTCTATTGAAATTTACAGTGCCAATGTGTTTCTCAGGCCGTGACTATCCTCTGGACAGAGAATCAGCGTGCCCGTAGGACGCCATTCAAGCCCAGTTTGATCAATTCGCCCATTTCTGCTAGTCCTATTGAAATTTCTCTTGTGCCAATGTGTTTTTGAGGCCGTGACTATCCTCTGGACAAAGAATCAGCGTGCCCGTAGGACGCCAACTAAACCCAGTTTGATCAATTCGCCCATTTCCGTTGGTGCTATTGGAATTTCTCTTGTGCCAATCAGTTTCTCAGGCCGTGACTATCCTCTGGACAAACAATCAGAACGGTAAGACGCCATTTAAGCCCAGTTTGATCAATTCACCCATTTCTGCTAGTCCTACTGGAATTTCTCTTGTGCCAATGTGTTTCTCAGGCCGTGACTATCCTCTGGACAAACAATCAGCCCCGTAGGACGCCATTTAAGCCCAGTTTGATCAATTCGCCCATTTCTGCTAGTCCTAGTGGAATTTCTCTTGTGCCAATGTGTTTCTCAGGCCGTGACTATCATCTGGACAAAGAATCAGCCCCGTAGTACGCTATTTAAGCCCAGTTTGATCAATTCGCCCATTTCTGCTAGTCCTAGTGGAATTTCTCTTGTGCCAATCAGTTTCTCAGGCCGTGACTATCCTCTGGACAAAGAATCAGCGTGCCCGTAGGACGCCATTTAAGCCCAGTTTGATCAATTCACCCATTTCTGCTAGTCCTACTGGAATTTCTCTCGTGCCAATGTGTTTCTCAGGCCGTGACTATCCTCTGGACAGAGAATCAGCCCCGTAGGACGCCATTTAAGCCCAGTTTGATCAATTCACCCATTTCTGCTAGTCCTACTGGAATTTCTCTTGTGCCAATGTGTTTCTCAGGCCATGACTATCCTCTGGACAAAGAATCAGCGTGCCCGTAGGACGCCATTCAAGCCCAGTTTGATCAATTCACCCATTTCTGCTAGTCCTACTGGAATTTCTCTTGTGCCAATCAGTTTCTCAGGCCGTGACTATCCTCTGGACAGAGAATCAGCCCCGTAAGACGCCATTTAAGCCCAGTTTGATCAACTCACCCATTTCTGCTAGTCCTATTGGAATTTCTCTTGTGCCAATGTGTTTCTCAGGCCGTGACTATCCTCTGGACAGAGAATCAGCCCCGTAGGACGCCATTCAAGCCCAGTTTGATCAATTCACCCATTTCTGCTAGTCCTACTGGTATTTCTCTTGTGCCAATGTGTTTCTCAGGCTGTGACTATCCTCTGGACAAACAATCGGCCCCGTAGGACGCCATTCAAGCCCAGTTTGATCAATTCACCCATTTCTGCTAGTCCTAGTGGAATTTCTCTTGTGCCAATGTGTTTCTCAGGCCGTGACTATCCTCTGGACAAAGAATCAGCTCCGTAGGACGCCACTTAAGCCCAGTTTGATCAATTCACCCACCTCTGCTAGTCCTCGTGGAAGTTTTCTTAAGCCAATCTGTTTCTCAGGCCATGACTATCCTCTGGACAAAGAATCAGCGTGCCCGTAGGACGCCATTTAAGCCCAGTTTGATCAATTCACCCATTTCTGCTAGTCAAACTGGAATTTCTCTTGTGCCAATGTGTTTCTCAGGCCATGACTATCCTCTGGACAAAGAATCAGCCCCGTAGGACGCCATTTAAGCACAGTTTGATCAATTCACACATTTCTGCTAGTCCTAGTGGAATTTCTCTTGTGCCAATGTGTTTCTCAGGCCGTGACTATCCTCTGGACAAAGAATCAGCCCCGTAGGACGCCATTTAAGCCCAGGTTGATCAATTCGCCCATTTCTGCTAGTCCTAGTGGAATTTTTCTTGTGCCAATGTGTTTCTCAGGCCGTGACTATCATCTGGACAAAGAATCAGCCCCGTAGTACGCTATTTAAGCCCAGTTTGATCAATTCGCCCATTTCTGCTAGTCCTAGTGGAATTTCTCTTGTGCCAATCAGTTTCTCAGGCCGTGACTATCCTCTGGACAAAGAATCAGCGTGCCCGTAGGACGCCATTTAAGCCCAGTTTGATCAATTCACCCATTTCTGCTAGTCCTACTGGAATTTCTCTCGTGCCAATGTGTTTCTCAGGCCGTGACTATCCTCTGGACAGAGAATCAGCGTGCCCGTAGGACGCCATTTAAGCCCAGTTTGATCAATTCACCCATTTCTGCTAGTCCTACTGGAATTTCTCTTGTGCCAATGTGTTTCTCAGGCCATGACTATCCTCTGGACAAAGAATCAGCGTGCCCGTAGGACGCCATTCAAGCCCAGTTTGATCAATTCACCCATTTCTGCTAGTCCTACTGGAATTTCTCTTGTGCCAATCAGTTTCTCAGGCCGTGACTATCCTCTGGACAAAGAATCAGCCCCGTAAGACGCCATTTAAGCCCAGTTTGATCAACTCACCCATTTCTGCTAGTCCTAGTGGAATTTCTCTTGTGCCAATGTGTTTCTCAGTCCGTGACTATCCTCTGGACAGAGAATCAGCCCCGTAGGACGCCATTCAAGCCCAGTTTGATCAATTCACCCATTTCTGCTAGTCCTACTGGAATTTCTCTTGTGCCAATGTGTTTCTCAGGCTGTGACTATCCTCTGGACAAACAATCGGCCCCGTAGGACGCCATTCAAGCCCAGTTTGATCAATTCACCCATTTCTGCTAGTCCTAGTGGAATTTCTCTTGTGCCAATGTGTTTCTCAGGCCGTGACTATCCTCTGGACAAAGAATCAGCTCCGTAGGACGCCATTTAAGCCCAGTTTGATCAATTCACCCACTTCTGCTAGTCCTCGTGGAAGTTTTCTTAAGCCAATCTGTTTCTCAGGCCATGACTATCCTCTGGACAAAGAATCAGCGTGCCCGTAGGACGCCATTTAAGCCCAGTTTGATCAATTCACCCATTTCTGCTAGTCCTAGTGGAATTTCTCTTGTGCCAATGTGTTTCTCAGGCCATGACTATCCTCTGGACAAAGAATCAGCCCCGTAGGACGCCATTTAAGCCCAGTTTGATCAATTCACACATTTCTGCTAGTCCTAGTGGAATTTCTCTTGTGCCAATGTGTTTCTCAGTCCGTGACTATCCTCTGGACAGAGAATCAGCGTGCCCGTAGGACGCCATTTAAGCCCAGTTTCATCAATTCACCCATTCCTGCTAGTCCTACTGGAATTTCTTTTGTGCCAATGTGTTTCTCAGGCCGTGACTATCCTCTGGACAAAGAATCAGCTCCGTAGGACGCCATTTCAGCCCAGTTTGATCAATTCACCCATTTCCGTTAATCCTGCTGGAATTTCTCTTGTGCCAATGTGTTTCTCAGTCCGTGACTATCCTCTGGAAAAACAATCAGCCCCGTAAGACGCCATTTAAGCCCAGTTTGATCAATTCACCCATTTCTGCTAGTCCTACTGGAATGTCTCTTGTGCCAATGTGTTTCTCAGGCCGTGACTATCCTCTGGACAAACAATCAGCGTGCCCGTATAAAGCCATTTAAGCCCAGTTTGATCAATTCACCCATTTCTGCTAGTCCTAGTGGAAGTTTTCTTAAGCCAATCTGTTTCTCAGGCCGTGACCATCCTCTGGACAAAGAATCAGCCCCGTAGGACGCCATTTAAGCCCAGTTTGATCAATTCACCCATTTCTGCTAGTCCTAGCGGAATTTCTCTTGTGCCAATGTGTTTCTCAGGCCGTGACTATCCTCTGGACAAAGAATCAGCTCCGTAGGACGCCATTTAAGCCCAGTTTGATCAATTCACCCATTTCTGCTAGTCCTACTGGAATTTCTCTTGTGCCAATGTGTTTCTCAGGCCGTGACTATCCTCTGGACAGAGAATCAGCCCCGTAAGACGCCATTTAAGCCCAGTTTGATCAATTCACCCATTTCTGCTAGTCCTGCTGGAATTTCTCTTGTGCCAATGTGTTTCTCAGGCCGTGACTATCCTCTGAACAGAGAATCAGCCCCGTAGGACGCCATCTAAGCCCATTTTGACCAATTCACCCATTTCTGCTAGTCCTACTGGAATTTCTCTTGTGCCAATGTGTTTCTCAGGCCGTGACTATCCTCTGGACAGAGAATCAGCGTGCCCGTAAGAAGCCATTTAAGCCCAGGTTGATCAAATCACCCATTTCTGCTAGTCCTGTTGGAATTTTTCTCGTGTTAATGTGTTTCTCAGGCCGTGACTATCCTCTGGACAAAGAATCAGCGTGCCCGTAGGACGCCATTCAAGCCCAGTTTGATCAATTCACCCATTTCTGCTAGTCCTGTTGGAATTTCTCGTGTTTATGAAATTCTCAGGCCGTGACTATCCTCTGGACAGAGAATCAGCGTGCCCGTAGGACGCCATTTAAGCCCAGTTTGATCAATTCACCCATTTCTGCTAGTCCTAGTGGAATTTCTCTTGTGCCAATGTGTTTCTCAGGCCGTGACTATCATCTGGACAAAGAATCAGCCCCGTAGTACGCTATTTAAGCCCAGTTTGATCAATTCACCCATTTCTGCTAGTCCTAGTGGAATTTCTCTTGTGCCAATGTGTTTCTCAGTCCGTGACTATCCTCTGGAAAAACAATCAGCCCCGTAAGACGCCATTTAAGCCCAGTTTGATCAATTCACCCATTTCTCCTAGTCCTGCTGGAATTTCTCTTGTGCCAATGTGTTTCTCAGGCCGTGACTATCCTCTGAACAGAGAATCAGCGTGCCCGTAGGACGCCATTTAAGCCCAGGTTGATCAAATCACCCATTTCTGCTAGTCGTGTTGGAATTTTTCTCGTGTTAATGTGTTTCTCAGGCCGTGACTATCCTCTGGACAAAGAATCAGCGT